GTTTCGAAAAACGGCGCACAAATTCTTGGGGCGCCTATCAGTTAAAACAAAATCCTGTTCGAAAATGGGTTCTGGTAAAGTTTCGTCAGCTGGTTTCCATAGCAACCGCCATTCGTGGGACAAGCTGACGCCATTTGCTAGCGCGTTGCGTGGTAACCAGCTATCGGTGTTAGTTGAATTTGAAAGATAATTGTAACAGTGAACAGCTCGCTTCAGTTGCTGTACTGTGCTGTGGATGTGTGTCTTGTGCAGTGTAAGCAAAGTGTATAAGGACTTTCACATTATATTTTGTGATGGTGTGGTAATAGAAGGTTGTGAGCTCCAAGTGGAGTTAAGGAATTGCCAAAGAAATGAAAACTCTGCATGGGCCGGAAATCTGCAGCCTGCACTTCTATAAACTCTTCATAAGAGGTTCGTGGCAGGGGGCATTTTGGGGAGCGATTATGGAGGTGCTGGTAAGTAGGTAGGTACCAAACCTAATTGGCTTGATGAGAACTGAAACTGAAAGTCAAATGAATTGTGAAATTGCTTTACCTATCCTATCTGATCACTTTTACTTATTTTTTTAATTTTCCATTCATTTTGATTGATAAAGAACAACATTGAAAGATGCTAACATGCAGGTAACTACCTACCTAGCTCTAATGTAAATAGGTACCTAATAATTTCCTTCAAAAGAATATATGCTCTTCAATGTACTGGAGATTTAGTAATTGAAGGCATCTCACTTCATTTTGAATATTACCTAGGTATAACTTCCCTAAACTGCATGACAAATTTTCAATTTCCTTGTTGTAACACCAATACCACAAACATTCATCTGGGCACAAGGCTCACAACATCAAATTATTCATGTTTTATAGACAGGTACCTATACAGCAAAATTGCAACAGAGATATATGATTATTTTCAACATAGGCTTTGTGTTCAGTTGTGTTTATAATAATTTTGTGGGTGGAAAATGTGTCATGAATTGCTACAGGTCTGTGTAGAATTGTAATTAATATGATTATAGATAGAAAAAGGAATGGTCAGTTCAGTAGTCAACATGTTTACTCAATAACAAGATATGCTGGCATGGAGTTTGCTCATGAGTTTGCTCAAAAACCTTTCATTTAGTGTGGGAAGCATAGCAATTTGAAGCATATGCTTATAAAACTGATTTGTAATGGGGTTTGTGAAGTTCTCCATAAATTTCACACCTAGCAATGTACCTACCTAATGCATTGCATTACTTTAAAAAGAGGGAGACCATACAAGTTGTCAGGTAGGTAGGCTTTGACATTGATTTCAAGATTTCAAGGTGATCTGTGCTTTTTGCTTATAACTTGTTCTCATTCTCTGACTAAAGGAGTGGCAATACAATCTGACTTGTTCTATTTTCCTCTTGCCTTGCCATTTTTGACATAATCCTTGCCCAGGCTATATGTTGGTATGATGAAGGTCAATCAGATGACATATTTCAAATATTACAGTCATGATTTCAGTTGAATTTGCCTAACTTTATTTAAACAATATAAGATTACACATTGCATAGCTATAACAGCAATATTTGAGCCACCACTGGCATAGAAATTAATAGGTTGCAAAACATTACCCAGCAAGAAGAAATCAGTCATTGACAGTGGAGAAAACACATCTAGACTTGACAACAAATTACAATTGATTATTCTTCTACCATTCATGTTGGCATGAGTAATAATTCAAATGGATACTTAGTGCATTTTTCTAAAGATTTTAAGCACATAAGATCCATCCAAATTCCAAAGGCACAGACTCGGAACAAAGGCTGTGTTATAAACAAGGATATTGCACCTTTTTGGTATTTTAACATGTTGTTATATTCCGACATCCTAAGAAAAATAATATGGTAATCTGCCCTGCTTCATTTGATACGTATCGATGAGTAATTGGATGTTGCGGGAATGCAGTTAGTTTTCCGGCAGTTGTCTCCAGCAGCGACAAAATGGCCGCTTACTTTCTGTCAAACATTTGCTTTCATATGGCTAAGTACATTAATTTCACTTAGTCTAACTTTGTCTAGCAAATCTGCAGTTTTACTTCGGAAAAACCGGCAGCGTGTTTCACATTGGTGACCCCGCCAGGCGAGGCAGTTCCGTCGGCCGTCGATGTCCTTCGGTCATATAACCCCCAATAAAACTAGCGCGTCGAACGATCGGCAGCATGGATGGTCTCACACCATCCATGGCAGGGACCGACCTCACAGAGCCACGCAGAAAACAGAAATATCGGATTTATCTGCCTCTAAACTGTAATGTATGAATGCGTCGTGAAAATTTTACAAAAAAAAAAAAAATAGACCAGGATCTGTATTAGCGAAGAGATTAGCGATGCACGTGAAATGTGTATAGATTGCAGTATAGATGTAGTCAGCGATGGATTATAAAAGGATTTAAAGCCGCTTCTTAAAGCCTACAGTCAAAACGTTTTCTGAACGTTTGTGGTCCTCAATATGATAGGTATTCCATAGCAATTTAATGGGCTTCGTCCCATTAGCAAATATCAAAATCGTCCTCAAATAATGTTTTCTTACCTAAATGAAGTAATGTTGATCTAGGAAAAAAACTTGTTACACACTCCTTAAAGTTTCATATTCCTAAACAGAAACACTGATGTGCACCGTACACTCCAGCGTTACGTCACTTCACCTTCAGCCCGCCAAGTAGTAACTGCCCCACTAAACGGGAGAGGGACGCTATGGGACGGCAGATGGACGCCCGTCTGGTCCATGTGGAACTGAACCCTCATTGGATGAGAGGAATTAATTGAGCGTCCCGGTGGCTTTATGAGGGTAGTTCTTGACTTTCCAGTGTTTCCAGACACAGTCAACAACCAGACCGCCTCACTCTAGTCTATTTATACACCACCAGTATGCATTTCAGGTGGAGGTGTACCAAGTCCTGCCTCGCACTTTGCCCAAATCAACGCATACCGTATGTCTGTCGGCTTCTTAAAAAATGACGATATATCTGCGGATAGCTTCAGAAATAAAAACACTTCAGGAATAGCGTTTACGTCCTGTAAAACTGTAATGTAAATAACCAGCTTTACTTAAAAGTATAGATATGTTGGGATATACCTACCTAAGGATGATCGGTGAGACAAACCGGAGCCATCGGAGACCGTGTAGGAGACAGGCTGGGCTATTTGTGCACCTCTGGTGAAGTTTAAAAGGAACCATGGGATACCATTGTCATCCGGGACCGCATCCGCACAGCGGCAGCAGCGTTGATCACACGTCTGCTCTGTCGCCCGGAGGTTGATTTATACTGTCGCCTGCCGCTGAACTGAGGGGAATGGAGAGGCTCCAAGGAAATCGACCGCACCTTGCAACGCTCATCGCGGCCTAGCCATACTCAGCATTGCACTGAAAACAAATCGACACAGTGAGGGCATGTTCTGTACTGGTAACACATCAGTCATGTGTTAATCGCACCCAAAACACAATAAGACTGTGTATTTTCACGCTTGGCGGGACCTTCGACACGTTTGATAACACAGAAAACAGAATAATGACACACTTTTCTCGTGCCAAGCACGCTGGACGAATGTAATGCATCAGTGTACCGAAATCATGTGTTGTCGGATATGGTAGACGTGTTCCCTTACACAAATATACCGTGCCATCCACCAGTGAGCGACCTCTGAACCTTAACTTCAGATGGGGATAACAGAGGGCGTTTTTCGAGCACCGACTTTTATGCTGCGTTTTTGTAAAAATTTGCCAAAGTGTTTTGAGAAATATCAAAATGCACAATACAGCCGAGGGAGTCGATACATGATAAATTGTCTAAAGCAATATGCGCTGATTACATCAAGTGCAAGCTGAAGCATAGCTAATTAACGTCTGCTTGGAGGAAGAAACTCCTCGGTCTATATAGGATATATTTGAAAAATCGGTGGCCGAAAATTTATCCTGGCTGTCTGGACAACTGTATTGTGCAATAGTCCTCCAATTTGGGGCATCGTCACCTGGTGCTCTGATTGAGCCGTCCACGTGACGCGTTCACCCTTCGGCTCTGAAGTGGCCGACCGGGCGCAATTCCAGCTCATGTATGGATCATCGGCCTCGTATGGGTCGGCCGGCCGCGTGCTCAGCCCTGACCGCGCTCTGACCGTATGGGTCGGCCGGCCGGGTGCTCAGCCCTGACCGCACCCATGCGCCCGATACCACTCGGGGCCCGGCTTTGGCAACCAGCCTGTCCAGCCAAAGCCAAAGTCCCTTCAACTGCGCCCCGGCAACAAACTACATAATCACCACGTGTTTCCTTCTTTCACTTGCGATTTGTGTTAAATTTAGTAACACATTTACCTTGCATTCTGCAAATGTATTCACACAAGCCTTATGTGTTGGAGACACAATGATATTGTGTTTTAGGACACAACACGACTGGGTTAACACATTTGTAAATTGACACGTCTGCGACGGGTCAAAAAATGCATGATGCAGGGTACACAAGAAAACCTAGTTAACACGCTCTGCCTGTGCGTTTTTAGTCGTTTTTTGTGTCATTTTGTTTTCAGTGTGTCTGTTAACTTGGGCTGCCCATTATCTGCGACGATAAAGACAGCTGATAATGGTCCAGTGTACTTGTAGAATGGTTGTACTAGGAAGGAAAACTATCAGCAGAAGTAGACATTCATAGTTGACCGGCAGAACGACAGCCTTATGTAACTGGTGTGCTCAATGTCTGGTTGGATCAATGATCTTTACCACGTATAACACAATTCAGCTCTATCACAAATTACATATGCATGGGTGAGTGAATTGCATTCTGTGAACAATGCAGCATGGAACGAACAACTGAATTTCGGAAAAGTTTTAAATCTCTTTTCACAACGCTACCACAAATGAGAAGTTACGTGCAGCCAAAGCACTCGACAACGGCCTTCGTCAACAACATAAGGAATGAATCACACGTTCACACAGTATCAACACCATGCCTACTGAACGCAGCTTTCCTTTCAGCTTGCCTCACCTTGAGGCCGTAGTTGGATTCCTCGTAGATGATCGAGACGTACGTCCAGTTGAGTCGCTTCACGATCTCCATCATCGCCCGCACCTGGTACTCGTCAGAGGGAATCGTCCGAGAGAAGTACTCGAACCGCTGCTTGCTGCTCAGCTCCGGCGAGGTGGAAAAGAATGAGACCTGCCAGCGACAGCAGAGGACGTCAAGTGAGTAACGGAGACACACGAGAGAGGTTGGTGAAGTTCAGACGCGTAAACTAAACGTTTGACATATTTAGGTGCTCTGTGGTCTCATTAACCCGGCAGTTGCTGGGGTATTTCGCCACCCACCGTTTGCTGGGGGGGGGGGGCGTTAAACGCCCCCAGCCGATAACTCGAGAACCAATAGGCGCAGCGAAACGCACGAGGCGGCAAACGAAAGAACGCGACGAGACGCTTGAGATGAGTACTTTAAAGTTGAATTTTGAGGTCACAGGTCGGGTCAAGGTCAGGTCAAACACCTGAAATCGGGCTTTCAGTAGCATGGACTTCAGGACTTCGCAATGGGCGCCTCTCGTCAGAAACTCTGTCAAAACGGTGCACAATCCATCATATAAGGCCTGCAAGAGTGTCAGTTTCATGTAGGGGTCAGTCAAGCATAGGTCAGGGTCAAGGTCAGGTCAACCGGGTAGGCACATATCCCCGAAAATCAAAACTGTTATTCGCAGCCTATGACACATGTTTTATGGGTAATTTGGGCAGTAGAACACGATGGTGACATTCATTTTATCATATGTGTACGTGTTTGGCTCAAAAAGTTCAATTTAAGAAATTCATGTATCACGGTCGTGAAGTAGTCACGAGAAATTGTGAAGATTCAGTTCAAGATTTTGGAAAATGCGGAACGATAATCAATAATCGAAGATAGCCATTTGATTGTTCATGGTATTGGCATTCTAATGGCGTTTACGGCGTGTCTATATGTCTATTTTGTGATTTTATATGGTTTTTTGAACATATGCCGTTTTTGGTCGAAAACTCAGAAATCATGACGTCACTAAAACCTCGATATCTCAAAAATTTTCCGACCGATTTTTTTGAAACTTTGTCACAATAAACTTCAATCAATTCTCTACAGGTACCCAAAATTTGGCGCGCCGCAGCCATTTTTATGCTATGGCCCGGCGAAAAAAGTGGGGGCGTTTAACGCCCCCCTCCAGCAACTCGCGGGTTAATATGAAGTTTGACACCAGGTTGGTCGCAAATACACCGAAGAATATCATCGTTTAAATGCCAAGCCTGCCGGGGTAGCTTCCACAAACACGTAGCAAATGCATGGTGCCATGAGGCTTTTCTTTTAATTCGCATATGTTTTATGAAAACTTATGTATATTCATATAAGAAAAATATGTGTTTTCTATAGCCAACCTCAGTGACGAATCATTGATAGGAGTTACGTGGTATTTACAGGACTAAAATACTATATGAGAAGAGCAGCTGAAAATAGACGCTGGCCCTGACCAAAGTGCCAGCCAGCTGGAGCACTCCCTTCTAATAGCGACCTACCCTGGGGCTGTAATTGCCTTATATCTCCGGGTATGCAGATTAAAGTCAAGCTGTACAGACGGCCGTATAAATTCGCAACAACTAGCATGGCTGAGCTAGCTCCTGGAACGCCGCATCGGAAAGTTGGCTGTCAGCGAACGGCGGCACTCCAACTTGGCGGGCAACTTTTACAATCTATACCGCTCCCAGCTGCACTTGATACACACTGCAGTGTGCCGCGGACTGCCGCCGTCCGGTTCCATTTTGGCGTCCGACCTGGCTCGTAGCTTCTCATGAAGAAAAGCCCATGTAAGCTGGCAGCACGCCGCGCCGGATTCGCCTCAGACGGTATGCGACGGTGGCTGCGGTTTACGGCGAAACCAACTCAAACGGTTTAACTTTCAGAAAGCTTTCAAGTAAAGCTGCTCTGGGGATAATGTCACGGTGAGAAATCCAGCTTTGGGATTGGCGAGGTGAGGGAGCGAGATAGGAACTGAATCACTGAATGTATGCTAAGGTCATGAGTCATGACCCGTGAGGAGTGCTGCCACAAATGCTTCATTTGACACCTGCGTTGGGTAAAAGCCAAGCCTCCTGTCCAAATATCTCAAATGATAATGTATGTAGTCCGGCAGAAATTACCTTTTTGATAAATTTTTACATTTTTTTCAATAGTTTGAAAACGTGATTTATTTTACAACGTGCCAAGAAAAAATATTGAAGATAATGAGTTTTCCATTCATTTAAATTACTTTCAATCTCTCCAATATCCATTTATTTCAGGTAGACCTCACAACAGTCGGGCACGATGATTAAACCCCTTCCCGTAGAGCCGTTTTCAACTTTGAAAATAAAACATGCATATTTCCGCGATCGCTTTATAAAACTACATAGTTCACATTCAAAGGCTGGCAAGCATTACTTATCACAAACCAGAAATAGCAGCCATGCCAACCACAGCAGGGGTTGTTGAACCCTTTCAACCTCTCCCTCTACAGAGGACAGATCGCTTTTACCTTGATGATAAACGTTAGTACATTCGTATAATAAAATACATCTTCTTTGAAAAGGCAGTTGAACATTCTTTTGATCGTTCAAAGCCATAAGAGTTGCCTTGAACTCAAAGAAACATATTAAGCAAAAGCTGTGAAGCCATGAAAGCATATAAAGCCTCGAGCGAGCACCCGTGAAAGTATTCAGTTCCTTCCTTGCCGCACGTAAATTACCCTGAGTGACCATAGCCCTTTCATGGAACCCGTTTCTAATCGGACCCATGCATGGGTCCGATTAAAAGGCGGGCACTGGGTCGCAACGACCGAGGCTGTGCGACCGGTGTACATTACATACCTCACCTGGTATGGCGAGAATGAAATGGGCAGCGGTCGCAGACAGGCCTAGACAGATTGACGATGTTTGATAATCCACTTTAGCTCGCGTGATGCGTATATTGTAGTATGCATCCACCTGATACCTGGGCTCCGAATGACCCTGACCCGGAATACTAACGTCTCGGTCCGTATTTAGCATGGTGCCAACCCTTGCAATCTGTTTTAATTATTACGCCACCTGCACCGAGACCAATATCCACTTCACTCCCCCTGTCTCTTCTCTCTCCCTCTCCCTCTCTCTCTCTCTCTCTTTCTTTCTCTCTCTTTCTCTCTCTCTCTCTCTCTCCCTCCCTCTCTCTCTCTTTCTCACTCTCTCCCTATCCCTCTTTCCTTATCTCTCCCTTTCTCTTTATCACCATCTTCCCTTTCCCATTTTTCTTATCTCTCTTCACTCCCCCCTAATTCTCTCCCTCTCCTTCATTCACCCTCTCTCCCACCTCTCCCCACCCTACCTACCCCCACGTCTCCGTGACCCACCTGCGGTATTTTGAAGAGGCGCAGCAGGTTGGCCACCTGGATGGAGGTGACGCTGGACGCGGCGCCGACCACTCCGGAGATCACCTGGTTCACCTGGTTGCGCACCTGAGGACTCGTACCGTCCGGACACTGGTACTCGCCGTCGTCGATGTTGCTGATGGAGCCTGTCAAAAAAGGGAGAAGTAGTTAGTAGGTGTCTAGGTGAGTATCTCACTGAAAGCAACCACAGAGGATTATTCGAGTTGGTAATGGTTCTGGAGAAATGTCGCCGACTATCCAAGAGGGAATCGAATGGGTTTGTTACGAAATAAAGTAACACCGATAAGGAACTTGCCATCGCTTTTCCTTTTCTATCGTCTAAAGGGAGGGTAACTTTTGGGGTAAACGACTTAAAGCTTTCACATTGCTGCGTGAATATAGGGTAAATTGTATTGAGTCAATAGGAAACAGAACATTACAGCTATTCAATATAAATTATCTATAAATTAAAAAATCGATCTCATAGAAACACAGTGGTGCCAATGTCGGTATATGGTACCAATAGCCGTTTTCACTATGGGCTATCCGGCGAATGCACCTGATTTGACCAAATCTGCACCTAATTTCTTTTACAGCAAATGTATTCTTTTTATGAATTCATTTCAGTGTTTTAATCGATGACACTCTCTGATAATATGACAAAGCAGGCATATAAGCAATTAGTGCAACCCTAGCAGATAGCTGCTAAGAGACACACTGAACCTGATTTGACCAAATCTGCACCTGATCTGTACCAGATGTGCACCAAATGTGTACCAGGTGGCCGTCGTGAAAACGGCTAATATCAACATAGTGGCAGCCATGGATGAGAAAATATCATCTGGTTCTGGACAACGATTTATTTTACTAATGAACACTTGTCCAATTCCTATCCCCATGACCATACCAATTTGGTAAGGCGCCCGTGTCATTCACATGGTCAATCACACAAAACGCGTGACCAGCCTTGCATCAATTAAACATGCTGAGAACTGACCGCGGTGACCTTCTGGACGAAAAGTAAAAATGGACCAGTCATATTGCTCAGGGAAACTAGCATGCATTGATCGAAATGGAGGCAGATGTTATGACAATCAGACTCGTACACAAATACATTCTCAAAGGACATGAAGTTTTCCACTACCTGAAACTTCATTCGCAGTTATGGTAAACAGCGATACATCGCAACGACAAAACGCCATCACATACCAAACAAACCGCATCGATCTTTTATAGCTCTCGCCATTTCTTTGCCTCTAAACTTCCGACGAAGACAAACAGGCCTGCTTTCTCCGAAGAACAGACAGCAAAGGTGTTAGCTTTTGGTGGCGACGGTGGAAAGTTTGTCGGCAGTGGTGCCTCTGCCAACACGGGCCTGACATCAACACAGAGGGTAAGCACCGTTACAACAGAGCACCAGAGTTTATAGCTATTGTGCATATATGCAGGGTAATGTATACAGATACAAATGCCCATACATCGTACCTGTACAGTGCACACTATACAAAGACTCGATACTCGGGACTTGTTGACATGGTTTCGCCATTAGCAGCACATCCCCTCATCGTATGAGCAGATCAGCGTTCCAGATAAAACACGCCTCATTTGCCGCGGATAATTTCCTATCCGACATCCGACATCCGATGACGGGTGATACATTACAATTCATTCGACCGTGATATTGTGTCCGCTCTGATTATTTTCTGTAGGTATTATTTTCTCATAGCCGTGTATACGTCACAGACACATCGCATACAAACAGAAAATAGGTATACATAATAAAATGGTGAAACTAAAAAAGATACGTGAAAAAGACAAATGAGATATTCACAACAACAAATACACTTGAAATGATATTTGGCTAGAATTTCAACACCAAAACGACAAAAGACATGCAGCAAGACTACAATGAGATGTGAAAAATACAGTTGAGCTCCGATATGAGCCTCTATGACATGAAAATTCTAATCACTTCATTATACTATGAAAATGTACTTATTTGCTCCCTTTTGTGTACTCCATTTCACCATTAATTTTCTTACAAACTTTGCCCTATGTGATATCTTGTAACACTCCACAACCATGCATTCCCGCGCTCCTTCAACACTTGGTAAATACGGTGGGCACCAAAACCCCATTCACTGTTGCAGGAGTAGCACCGCTACCGTCTTGTTCAGCGACCCGACCTACATCACCGAGTCAGTCCCAGGAGAGTGAGCCATCACCGTCCCTCGAGAGGCGGCGCGGCGCCTCACGCCCGCAGCACTACCTGCGACCGGGCCGGGCGGCGCGCGAGATCCTCTCCGGCGCGGGCCCACCAGATTGCTGTCTCGGACCTATCGATCCGCGGCATCCTCCGCGCCCGAGGAGGCGGGGGAGGGGCGCCGCGCCGCCACCGGCCGCGGCCACCACCGCCGGATAATGGTTACCATGGTTTCCGCAGGTGAGCCGCAGAGCCGGTCGCCGGTGTCGCCGCCCGGGGTAAGGCCCGCCGTCGTCGGCAGAATCAGACCGGATGGCGTCGTCGCCGCCAGGGGATACGAGCTCGCAGCAGGCCTGAAGTTTAACGCCCCAGGCTGTGACGCCTCCGAACTTTGCACTAGAGGCCGGAGGTCGACTTTAAAGCTCTTTAGTTGCGGCGGAGGGGCGTATTTAAGTCTGGGTTCTACACAGCCTTTGGGTGGTTCCGGGGCGCCAGACAGAGGCGGATCTATTGACAATGGTGAATAAGTTGCGTGTGTAACTTTTCTAGTCTAGATGAATTATTAAGTGGCAGGCTAATGAATACCTTGGAAAACTAAGAATGTTTCCTAAAAACTGCACCTCTTGTTTGTTTGTCAAGAATAGAAGTGGCCTGTAAAAGAATCGCATTTACGACAAAAAGCGTTATACTTTCAGTGTGCGCTAATTCAAGAACAAAAAGCATAGAAACAGTGCAGGGCGGCAACGTTTCCATGTCCATGCTGTCACCTTTCCGAGATCCACAGAACATCAAAACACCAACCCTCCTGCCTGCGTGCTGATAGCTCACCGATGCGACGGTTGTCTTCGGTAAGTGATCATGAATATCTCATAACTACGAGGACCGCACGCACCCCGACACACCCACACACAGCACGCACGCAATCACAGCATACGGACACGACAGTGGCCCAATGGGGCCGTGCATTCTCCATGGAAAGCTATAACGGTAAGCCATATGGCCAGAGCTGCGGGCGAGCTGCGGGCGAGCGGCGGGCCAGCGCACATGTTGGCTCAGAGAGGGCTGCGGTGCGGCGAGGCTTGCGTCTGACAGCAGCAGCTCAGGGCTGTGACAGCCCGATTCAGTCGAGCTGCGGCCGTCTGTCTGTCGCACCCACTCCCGCTGGGGTGCTCGGACGTCTGAGATGGGTCGAAAACGGAAACCCGAGCGACGACGTCAACAGGAGGAGACGGCTGTACAGGACAGCAGCATGCACGTGTTTGCTCTGATACAGCCTTGAGCCTGGGTGTTGTTGGTAGGGTGAATACGGGGAAGCGATGCGTGGGTGAAAGCTGGTTATGAATAAGAAATGGCGGTTTATATCGTCGTTCTAGCATACACATATTGAGCAAAGAAAACATTTTTTTTCACGCCAAAGGCTGCTTTAAAAAACATATGCACGAAAATAAGCGCACACATTCGCCGATAACATCCAACCGATAAATAACCGATAACCGATAACCGATAAAGTCCAAACGCGCCTTCGAATACACTGAAAACAATTTTACCCGAAGCTGGCGAATTAAGCGTTGCTCTGCGGGTGGTATATGTGTATTAACTCGCCATGTCCAGATTCTAGCTAGAGGGTAAGCAGACTTGCCTGCCTTATTACTCGTAAACATGCACCGTACCCACAGTCTGCAGTAAGGTAGCTACTCAGCACCGGATATTGTCCCCGCGGGTGTCGAGTCATCGGCATTGCCCTCACTAAAAGAGTTGGAACTACTCGAGATATCGTAAACGCGTATCCGTGGATGGCGAACCTTTACATAACCTGCCCTGAAGGAGTTGGATCTACTGGCACAACTAGATGGCGTTGTCTCATACAGTTTTGAATTACAGCAATTTTTTAACTTTTTTTTGCACCAATGATATATTGGCACATTGTTTGGCGGTTTCAAGTGGGGGCGAAAGCACAATTGTTAGGATGCATCTTTAAAACCTCTGCAATATTCATCATGGGACGATTGGCAACGCCTTTTCTTCCGAAACTACCAAGTGAGACCATTTTGATTCTTATAAAGGTCACGAAAGCAGTCGCGAGACGTCTTCTTGATCTCGGGCGGTCTGTACGACTTCCGGTGACGGGGTAATGTCGAATTTTCTATGGGAATTCGATTTGACCGTTCCCACCGACGTGAAACTTTCTCACCGATGTTTTCTAGGTGCGAGATTGTCATGATATAGATAATATCCCTCAAATATGGTCAAGCGTGAGAGTTTTTATGGCCCTCGTGACTTGGTCGGCGAAGGGTAGGCGTGGAGGGTAACCCCTTTTATAGTCATACCTGCTCTGAGCGGATATAACCGCTGAGGCAGATACGGCTACACTGCAATGGGACCTTACTGTACTCCTGGGAGGGTGGTTAAAAATGGTTGCGGATAGGGGTACCCGCGAAACACCGGTTTACTCGCCGGCCCTGGGTTAAACTGTTTTCAGTGTACAAAACCCCCTCTCTCACAAGAACTGGATCACGATACCATTCGCATAGTTAAAACAACTTCAAATGTCACCCTTTTCATATTGACATGAAGTTCCGTGTGGGCCATTTGCGGCAAGCCAGCTCGCGGTTATGACATCTGACATATCCTAGTCGGGTCAAGAGAGTCCCACACTTCCCTGGGGGAAGCCAGGCCACTGCATGATTTAAAGATGAAAGCACCACACCTCCACGCTGACCTTTCTACAAGTCCTCTGCAAGCTCGGCGCGTCTCCTTGGGCTGTCGCCACAAGCGTCATTTCGTTTGACGTTGGCGGTGGGGTCAGATTCGGCGAAGTCGCGGTCCCGGTATTATCAGCACCGCTGTCGCATATCACCAGCGTGTCCCCGACAGGATGCTGGAGCGGAAGCCCCCGTAAGCCGATCGCGGAGATAAGGCATATTGGGCACCGTTTTCGTGAATAGTACCTATCTTTAGAAGTCTGATCAGCCAGCGGCAGCGCGGCTAGACTGCCTCTCTGGATTGACGAGGAGTTAACACGTCAGCCAAATGGTAGAAAGCATCGCATCGCTCTACGCATTTTCGTCTGGTGTTGAGAAGTTTATAAACATGAGAACAATGTAACGCTTGCTCAGGTAAGAAAACGGGAGCGTGTATTGTAAGCAGTAAAAGCATCGGGGAAAATAGACCGATAAGTGTATGCGTCACACCGTTGCGAGTGCAGAGCCGGTAGAAGGCAATTTGCCGAGCTAGAGGGTGTTCAGTCAGGGCGGGTTTGTAAACAGACCCCCCCCCACACACACTGCAGCAGGGCGCGGGTTAACGCATAAATTATTTGACACCATCGTCGCGTCGTGACCTTGCAACCTGATCTAGGCACGACAGAGACCACACTATAACATGTCATAACATCTTTATTTCCCACACTTTGCCTTCATCAGCGAGTTTCATAGATCACACTGAAATCCATCGGGCGGCGGAGCTCGAAGAAACTGCTCTCCAAAGTCAGCACCTGACCTGGAGCTGCGGCGAACCGAAATTTCTGCAGCAAAGACACACAGAGGACAAACAGCTCTGTCCTGGCTACGGTCTCGCCCAGACAGATTCTCCTCCCGCTACCGAACGGCATCAGGTGATCGTCCTGTCGCACCTCTCCCTCGGCCGTGAGGAACCTCTCCGGCCTGAACCGGTGCGGGTCGCCCCAGTGCGCGGCGTCCGCGTGCACCGCCCAGAGGTGCAGCAGTATCATCGTGCCGCGCGGGATGCGGTGGCCACGCAGAGAGACATCAGCCACGGCCCGATGAGGCACTGCCTGCGGAATCACGGACGCCACCCGACTCGCCTCCATCAGCACCGCCTGGACGTACGGGAGGCGAGCGCGGTCTGAGAAGCACGGGCGTTGACCGTTCAGCACGCGGTCGATCTCCTGCTGGGCGCGACTCTGGATGTCAGGATGCAGCACGAGCAGCAGCAGCGTCCAGAGAAGGGTTACAGATGTGGTGGTCAGGCCGGCCTCGAAGAAGTCCATTCCCATGGCGATCAGGTGGCTCTCGCTGTCGCTACACCCCGCAGAGTCGGTGGACTCCCTCTCGGCGAGAAAGAGATCGATGAAGTCCGGCGGACTGGTGTGGTCTTTTCTCTGGCGATGCTTCAAGATCAGGTCCCGCAGGAGCGGTTCAAACGAGTCCCGGTAGCGGAGGAGGGCTGCGTGGCTGCTCCACCGCGGCATCACGTGGCGCAGCCAGGGTAGCACGGTCACGGGGTTCTGTGGGCCCAGCGCCTGGAACGCCTCCGCCGCCAGGGTCATCATCTCGTGGGTTTGAGGAGAGGCTCCATCCAGTCGACTGCCGGTGAACATGCGCCAGATGACGTTGATCGCAGCAAGATCAAGGTAGAAACGCATGGTGACCGGCTTTCCGCAGTTGGGCAACATGTGCTTGACCATGTTGTCAAACTCATCAGCTATCATTTCCTCCAGAGCATTTCCGTAGAAGCCGAGTTTACGAAACAGAAGCAGAACTAGGCGGCGATTTTGCCAGTGGTCGGGCCCTTCGTTGTACGAGACGCCGAGTCTCCGTCCTAGGGTACGAACCAGGAAGGAGAACAGGTCGGGACGACCTGCCAGCTCGGGCAGCGCAGCCGCCTCTCTGATAGCGTCCACGCTAAAGATGTGAACTATTTTGAGTCCCGATGGAAGTACGAATCCAAAAATATCTCCGTAAGTTTGACGTAAGGATTGAATGACGTTTGCAATTCCACCTTTCCATGCTTCTGCCGCAGCCCAGATAATTTCGCTCATGTTCCAGATGGTTGGGCCTGAAACAGATTTCAGAAATTCCTATAGTTAACAAGAACCAGTTTTCAATTTAAGACCTATACTGTACGATTTTTAGGGTTGTTGGCAAATATTGAAAAACTTGAAAGAAGGTAATCGTCGCCCTGGCGATCTGACCTTTTTAATATGTATCTGTGCAAAAGAGTTTCCTTACTTTCCCACTCCGTCAGTGCCGATCCGACGTTATTTGAACCATGTGAACAGATGTGCCATGCTACAGAAAGCAGGAGGGTTACATGTTTATTGGTTACCTGAGTTAGCACCACTGTATTATACGAGTCGGTCCGTACCTGGTGGGAAGCCCCGAGGACGCTTTGGCCAGACGTACAGCAAAAGGGTGAGCAGCAGGCCCGCAAGAAGAAGAACAATGCCGGCCATCGCGGCAGCTGTCCCTTACAGGGCCTACACGGGGTCGGGTGGTCGGGCTCCCAGTCTCTGCTCCACCACGGCTCTCTAGTCCTACTGAGCCAGCGCTCTGGGTCGTACCTACCGGAGGAGCGGACCGCTATCTGTGGCACGAACTGGGACTGCCGAATCGACACCACATCCGAGCGGTACGAACACTATCGCGAAGGTGGTGAGCTGTGAGGTCAGGGCTCAAATGATGCTGGATAGTCGGTGACCTCAAACCGTGACCTCCAGTGTGGAAACCAGGTCAGGAAATGGTTTCAGTGGGCTGAAGAAAAGAACCCCGTTGATCGACATTGATCGACATTTTTATATATACCTAACTACCTACCCAAGGCAGATACACATGACGTAGGACCTATATGACATTGCCCTTCATCCCTGAGGATGGGGGGACACTGTGCCTTCGCTGTCCCCCCCGGTTCCGCCGTCCCTGTGCGAGTGTGCGATGTAATCAATAACCACACGCATCAATCTTTTCTCCGTCCCGCGCGGCTGCCACTCGCTCTTCTTTCGGATGGAATGCGTCATCCGAACTCATCTTTGGTAGCATTCATGTCACGCAGTTCTAATAAGAGCAGGTCTTGTCTGCCAGCGTGTCGGGCTTCCTCATCCTGGGTACTGCGGCTGCGATGGAGTCCCAGGCGTCGTAATGCGTGTCTGGGATTCCTTATTGGCTCCGTTACGGGGAAGTAACACACACCAAGAATAGGGCCTCTTCCTTACGTGGCGAGTAATGGGCATGTTCAACGTGTCATGCTGAGAGCCGAGAGGAAGTGTCGTTCGTTACGACAAGATCTCGACGCATGAAAAGTAAATAGAATGCGGACGGAAGCAGAAAAAAGGTTTAGCATGGGTGGAGGCATTGATTTTTTGATTGTTTAGAATCTGAAACCCCAAATCTCTCTCTCTCTCTCTCTCTCTCTCTCTCTCTCTCTCTCTCTCTCTCTCTCTCTCTCTCTCTCTCTCTCTCTCTCTCTCTCTCTCTCTCTTTCTCTCATACACTCTCTCGAGCGAGCTACATCACATATAGAAGAGATGTGTTTGTCAATTTGCAGGCTATGAAATGTCCATCGGTAAGAATTGACATGCGTAAATTTCCGTCCGCCAATTACAAGCTCCAGTTTTCAAACCGTTTTAGTTCACCCCTCTAGTTAAGATCGGCAGAAAGTACAAGCGGCCACCCATCCGGAATGGATATTCAAGTGGCTCTGGTCAGCCATTTGAATGCGGCTAAGACTGTACCCAATATCCATTCTAGTTGTTTGAACTGCACTTCTACCGCATGCCCCGGTTCATAGCCGGACTCCAAACAGCATCCCTGGTGCCGTGGGGCTCATGGGAAGCAGAAACAAGTTTACACTTGCCAGGCATACATAGACTTGGCAGTCAACAAACGACTTCGGCCCATTAGCGAGGTCCCATTTACAGAGCCTTGCCATTAGGACTGCAATGAATGAATGAATTATATAAGTGGTTTACACACCAGAATGCAATCGCCCTATACCATAATATCGAAGGTTAGAAGCCTGTTTACGTATGGTGCCCTATGAATTATGACCACCAGCTTTAGATCTTCCACACTGGAAAACAAACCGAGTGCGACCGTTCGCCACGCGAGTCATCTTATAAACTGAGATAAATAGCCAGGCATGTTGACGGTTCAGGAAGCAGTGTTGATAAAAAGCTGGTAAGGCTTCCATAAACAGTTCTGAAACCGTTAATTAGCAACAGCCAGCCGTGGACAGACAAACACTATGCGTTTGTACAAATTTTGCAACTTACCTACGCAAACGCAACGCATAGTGAATGCTAGAATCATAACCGAGTCCTCTCCTCTCTCCTCTCTCTCTCT